GTGGGGTGTAGGTATGTGCACATGATGTTCAACACAGGAGAGGAATCTTTTTTCGTATTCTACAGAGATGCTGAAATTACTTGTAGTTTGGTGGTCATTATACAGACTTAACACTTCACACTTTCTTCCAGGGTTTCAAGGTGATTTCTTGCAGTGACATTTTCAAAGAGGTGAGTAAATCGTTTATTAGTATTTAACACCTGAGATGCAATAATTACTGGCTTCACTATGCTTTTTAGATGTTCCCAAACGGCAACATTTGCGATAAAAGTTTGCAATAAGTGCTCAAATATTTAGAACTTTGTTAAGTTAATTCGCCTTTTTTGGATGTGATAAAGCAAAACGACTCAAGATACATGATGCTAGACCACTTTACATTTCCGTGTAGAAAAGGGTTATTCCTAATTCTTTCTTTCTGTTGTATAGCTTCAATATCCTTTTTCTTATTGTAGAGTTATGTGAAATTAGTACTGTATAAATTTTGCTTGGCTTCAGCAACACTTGCTTGTGATTTGCTGATTTTAATTTGTATAACCTGTTGGATGTTTAATTTATAGAGACTGGACACTGATAAATTGTTCCCATCATATGAGTGGTTAATTCTTGTATAATTTGCTATGTTTTGCGTAGATTACACTGGAATTACCAATCACTGAATCCAAGAAAGAGGAACTGCATCAATTAATAAGAAACGCTGTAACTCATTCATGACCAATGGCATTCTGTGATGTGTGATCTGGATCCAATATCCTGAGGAAAATCACACTCTTAGTTTCTTTTGAATAACCTAATGTACACCATCTTTCATTGGTTGTAATGTTGTTCTGAATGATCCTTTAGATTCTTCGGCTGTTCCTTCAGGCCTGAGTAATTTTCCATGAAAATCAATTTTAATTTCTGTTTGTGCTTTATATTTACTTTACTCGAGAGAATTAGTATACAATTCTAATACAATACTGGGTAGGGACCTCTTGGTTTGAGAACATTTAGCAAAAGGGGTCGGGAATGGCATCGAAGGATCCGGGGTTGCATGGCATTACATATATATTATTTCAACTCGAACTCTGCTTTCAATATATTGCTGAGGAGTAGAAACTAGCATAGTTTAGTTGGTCATATGCATATAGACCTTTAAGACGTAAGGTTTTAGGTGGAGTTGGTCGGGATTTAAGCTTATCAAATCCAAGTTCATATTCCACCAATTTCCATTATTCGCTATTCTAACCAGAAGTCTATGTCCCCCATCCATGTGTGGTGGATCTAATATCCTGAGGAAAAATTTCACTCTTGTTCTCTTATGATTTGCATACATTAGTCTTTTATTGGTTGTGAAACTGTACGAGAATGATACTTCAAATATGGTCTAACTGGAAGTCTATTTCCGCCACTGATTGGAGATGTGGATATGAATACATCTGGGGAATGTTGTCCAAGACCGAACTTCCTGATTGCCACACACGATTAAAGCGGGTCCTATTTTAGAATGGCCCAATCACGGCTTATATTATCGTCTTGTTGTTTCTATATTCTGCCAAGACATTTGAAACCTGGAAACTGAGTGGGGACGGTAGCATGGAAGGGTTGTAGCTGGTTATGGATGTCGGGTAAGCTGTCATGCTGCCGTTGAAATTACGGAAAGCAACGAGAGCTTGCGATCAGATCATGCCCGAGCTCGACGGGTTTATTGCCCATGCGATCTATCCCTCTTGGACTTGTTTGGCTCTGTATGCAATCAGACACTTTTCTGAGGGATGGAATGTAATTCCAGAAGACGAACCCCCAAATGGGAAAGTTTGACGTATGAACTAAAAAATTAGAATGTAGACAACACGGAATGTAGAAATTAGAATGTAGAAAAGATGATTGAATATAGAAAATGCAGCCATAGGATTTTTTTTTTCTTTGTTCTTTATTTTAATCGGTTCAGCGATCCAAATCTTCGAAGGCAACCCGTCGTTCGTTGTCGTTTCGTTTTAGCGGTATCTTGAATCGTCCTGACTGCTGATACTAGCTTATGTAGGCGTGGTAGACGACATGGAGAAGATGAGAAAATCTCACCTAAAATATGGATAAAAATCTCTTCAATAATAATCGTCCTTTTCAATGGATGAAAAACAATAAAAATAAGACTCTTAACTCTCCTAATCCTACTTAACTTGCCTAACAAGATAAGCTAGCTAATTATTTAATTACCAACATTACTGAAATAACTAAAGAAACTGAAAAAAAAGGATAAATAATAATTAAGAAATAAATCAAATAAATACGAAGCCGCTCATAATTGTCAAAAATGTAATCGCGGTCTCATCTCCATTAGAAAGTAAAGAAGATTTTTTTTTTCTTTTTGCTTTTAATTATTTTTATTTCTGCTATTTAGGATGAATCAACGAAAGGGGGAGTCTGAACGATAAAATTGTTGACATTTTATTTTCTTCCTTCTTTTTGAACTGATAGTAATAGTAATGTCCAACAACTACCACTACGTAATGACATACCTTATTAGAGAACGATAAAATTTTGTAGCACAGCAGCACATTTGGTCCTTTTGTGTCTAAGCAGTTATAACTGCTCATGAGAGAAGTCGGGTTGCATTAATAAAGTCGCGAAGCGTTTCTGTAAATATTTGCTCGCGTTTTCCTTTAGTTGGTTTAACTTCAACGACGTCGTTTCGCATGTTTAGGACGACGTCGTTTTACAGCTTGCATGAGTGATATAAATGCACTCAACTTGTACGTTTTCAGATCAATGCAATCACAATAAAATTTCTCTCAATCTTAGCTCGCAATTTTACATGGTATCCAGAGCAAGTGACAGTCCTGCAACTACCTGAGATCATCTTCAATGGCGAACAATCGATGAAGCATGGCCTCTCCTCAACGCGCGAGCTGGAAGCAGCTCAGAAATGCGCGACGATCATCCTTTTTTTCTGAGTGGATCTGACCAACCAGGTATGCAGCTCGTGTCTCATCAGCTCAATGGATCGAATTTTTTGGCATGGAAGCGTTCAATGATGATCGCTCTTGGTGCTAAAACGAAGTTAGGGTTTATCAATGGATCTATTGAAATTCCTGAAGAAAATGATCCGAATTTTGAAAAATGGAGAAAAGCAGATTGGACGGTTACTTCATGGATTTTGAACTCCTTGTCAAGGGAGATAGGTGATGCTTTTATGTGTGCCGAATCGGCGAAGGAACTTTGGGATGACATTTGTCAAAGGTTTGGGGAAAGTAATGGCCCGCTCATTTATCAGCTTCAAAGAGATATTGCTAGTCATAAGCAAGGGAATGAACCTGTTATGGTGTATTTTAACAAGCTTAAGAAAATGTGGGATGAGCTGAGCTACTTAGTGCCTCAATTGAACTGCAAATGTGAAATTGGTAAGGCGGTTTTGGAGCAGAATATGCAAACAAAGTTGATGCAGTTTCTGATGGGATTAAGTGAAGGTTTTGATCAAGTTAAGAACCAGCTATTGTTAATGGATCCTCTACCAACAGTAAACAAGGCATATTCTATGGTCTTGTCAGCAGAAAGACAGAGATTTGTACAGGAGATCCCAGCACAAATGTTGCAATGGTAGTAAGATACAATGGAACAAATAAGGAGAACAACCCTAAACCACAGGTTTTCTATCAAAAATCTGGAAGAGAAGGGCAGAGACTTACTAAGGAGGAGAAAGCTAAGTTGTTCTGTGACCACTGTGGAAAGAATGGTCATGATAAGAGTACCTGTTTCAAGATTCATGGTTTTCCAGAATGGTTCAAGGATAACAAAGAAAGGAGGTATAAAAGTGCAGTTAATATGGTGCAGACTGAGGGCACAAGAAAACCACAGGGTGTTGGAGCTAATACAATGGGAGATATCTCAGCTTTAGCATAGGAGGTTGCAAAATTGCTGGGAAGACAATCATATGACAGTGAGAAAGGAAAACAATACAAAGAGGAAGAACAATATGTTAACTTTGCAGCCAACATAAATGGAGAAGAAAGATGCCTTATCCATGTATGATGAGTTGGGTGAGAATGCATGGGTGATAGATACATGAGCTAGTAAACACATGTGTGTGAATCAAGCATCACCCATTACAGTGTATATGCCAGATGGTACAGTGAAGATGGTGACACAAGTTGGGGAGGTGGAACTATCACATAATCTTGTGTTATATGGAGTACTCTTTGTACCATCCTTCAAGTACAATTTGCTGTCAGTGACTCAGGTATGTGTCACATCTCATTTAAGGTGCAACTTCACTTCAAAAGGTTGTTGCTTACAGAGAGAAAGATCAGGAGAGATCATAGCAACAGGAGATTTAAGGCAAAAGCTTTATATTCTGAATTGTGATGATAAAAGGAAAGATGTTGCCTTAAGCTGCAAGACATCTCTCATGGACTGGCACCAGATACTTGGACATGCATCTTATGGAATAATGAAGCAACTAACATTCCTTAAGGATAAGTGTAACACACAGGGAGAGCTGAGCCTCAAGAATTGTGACATATGCTTTAGAGCAAAGCAGCACAGACTACCATTCCCAGATAGTAGCATCAAAACAAAGGAATTTTTTTGCTTACTTCATGTGGATATTTGGGGGCCCTGTAGAGAAGACTCAATTCTCAACACACCTTACTTCCTTACAATAGTGGATGATTACAACAGAAGTATTTAGATTTTTCTCATGGGATCAAAAGGAGAGACACCAACTCTACTGAAGAAATTCATAGTCATGGTTCAAACTCAATTTGGGAAAACTGTCAAGCAAATCAGAAGTGATAATGGGCAGGAATTTCTGAGTAATGAATGTCAAAGAATATTTGATGATTTTGGAATCTTGCATCAAAGAAGCTGTGTATACACACCACAACAAAATGGTGTGGTAGAAAGGAAGCACAAGCAAATTCTTGAAGTTGCAAGGGGATTGATGTTTCAGTAAAAAATGGACATGAAATATTGGCCATATGGAGTCCTCACTGCAGTGCACATTATAAATAGATTACCTAGCATAGCCTTAAACTGGGAAACACCTTTTCAGAGAGTCTATAATGAGACACCAGAATATACAAGGATGAAACCATTTGGGTGTTTAGTGTATGCAGTTAACACTAGTCCCCACAGAGGAAAATTGGGGCCTAGGTCCCATAAGTGTGCCTTCCTTGGCTATGCTAGGGGCTGCAAAGGATACATTTTATTGGATATAGAGGATGACAGAAGATTTATATCAAGAGATGTGGTTTTTATCACTGAAGTTTTTCCTTGTAGAGAGACATAAGCTGAACAACATGACAACACCTCTCTGCCAGTGGTAGTGGGAACTGAAAATCATGACAACACTCATTTGCCAATTGGGAGGGCTACTCCAGACACTAATGATAATGAAGTCTCAACTCAGCAAGAGAACATCTCAACCCATTCACCACAGGTAGAAGTTGCAAGGAGAATCAGAAAAAGGCCTGCATGGATGAAAGACTACATTTGTGATGATACTGATATAGAAACATTACAAAGCAATGAGGATGAGACAGCCTTTCTTGCCAACATCACTACTGGACAAGAACCTACACACTTTGAACAAGCCAGGCAGGATAAACAATGGGTTGATGCAATGAACCTGGAACTTAAGGCTCTAGAGGATAACAACACATGGGAATTGACACACCTACCACCAGGAAAGAAGGCCATTGGTTCAAAGTGGGTTTACAAAATCAAGAGGAGAGCAGATGGCACAATAGAAAGGTATAAGGCAAGGTTGGTAGCAAAGGGTTTCACTCAAGTGGCTGGGGTGGATTACTTTGATGTTTTCTCTCCAGTGGCTAAGTTTGTCACAGTGAGAATGTTCATGGCCCTAGCAGCCATACAAGGGTGGACCATTTGGCAACTAGATGTGAATAATGCCTTTCTACATGGCATTTTATCTGAAGAAGTGTATATGAAGCTGCCCCAATGTTACAGCAAAGGGAAGAATGGTCAAGTTTGTAGGCTTATAAAGAGCCTATATGGACTAAAGCAAGCATCCAGAGAATGGAATTGTGAACTTTCCAAAAGGTTGCTGGATTTTGGGCTTGTACAATCACCTCAGGATCATTGCTTGTTTACACAGCACAAGGATGGTCAATTTCTTGCCATGCTTGTCTATGTAGATGATGTTTTGGTCATGGGATCTGATTCTCATCAGATATCAAAGTTAAAGAAGTATTTGAATGATCTTTTCACTATTAAGGATCTTGGAGTTGCAAGATACTTTCTTGGTGTTGAAATCGCAAGAACAAATAGTGGCATTCATCTTTGCCAAAGAAAATATATCTTGGATTTATTGAAGGACATGGGACTAGAAGACTGCAAAGTAGCTGCTACTCCATTACCACAAGGTTTGAGGTTAACAGGCTATGATGGAATGCCTATGTCAGAACCAGAAAAGTATAGAAGGCTCATTGGGAGGTTACTTTACCTTAACATGACTAGGCCGGATGTGAGTTATGCGGTTCAACAGTTAAGTCAGTTTATCAACAGCCCCTTCACTGAGCATTGGGATGCAACAATCTCAGTTCTCAAGTATCTCAAAGGAACCATTACACTTGGTCTTTTCTTCAACTCTACATCTCAGCCTATCCTCAATGCCTATTGTGATGCAGATTAGGCTACATGCAAGGATATTCGACAGTCAATCACTGGGTATTGTGTCTTCCTTGGTGATAGTCTTATTTCTTGGAAAAGCAAGAAACAAGTTACAGTTGCTCGTTCCTCAGCAGAAGCTGAATACAGGTCCATGGGGACCACTGTCTGTGAATTGCAATGGATCTATTCCTTAGCCAAGGAGTTTCAGTTGCAGCCTTCTCTACCGATTGATCTCTGGTGTGATAACCATGCTGCGATGCACATTGCCGCAAATCCGGTCTTTCATGAACGCACTAAGCACCTAGAGATTGATTCCCACATTGTTCGGGACAAGTACAAAGCCGACTTCATCAACCCTACCTATGTTCATTCCTCGGGCCAACTAGCAGACTTTTTCACTAAGCTCTTACCTGCTGTTGTTTTCCATCGGCTGTTGTGCAAGTGTTGGGTGTTCACGCCATTGATCACACTCCAACTTGAGGAGGGGGTGTAGCACAGCAGCACATTTGGTCCTTTTGTGTCTAAGCAGTTATAACTGCTCATGATAGAAGTCGGGTTGCATTAATAAAGTCGCGAAGTGTTTCTGTAAATATTTGCTCGCGTTTTTCCTTTAGTTGGTTTAACTTCAACGACGTCGTTTCGCATGTTTAGGACGACGTCGTTTTACAGCTTGCATGAGTGATATAAATGCACTTAACTTGTACGTTTTTAGATCAATGCAATCACAATAAAATTTCTCTCAATCTTAGCTCGCAATTTTACAAATTCAAACAATGGCTCGATCAAAAAATTACTGAGGTTTAAATTATTTCAAAAGCCTTTGTTTGGAGGTTTGACTTGGTCTTCCTATGATATAGTATGCATTATTATGTTGATAGTCTATTTCGAAGATATTTGTAGAGATATGTTGGGTACTTTCCTTGGTAATTACCTATGTATGTGTGTGACGCTGTGACTTGAGGAATTTGCTTTCTCTCTCTCTCTCTCAATGGTTAGGTTAGAATAGGTGACAAGATTAGGTAGGTTACTTTCAGTCCACACGGTTAATTTTATTATTATGTCCAAAAGACATTGTGTTTGTTAAATTAAATGATGTATGGACAAAGTCTCGGCGTGTGCGGGTGGTTAGTTGACGTGGACCATTCGGAAATAAGGACGATCTTTCAACGGAAGAGAAAAAGAGACGCTACTCTAATCTTCTAATTAAAATTAAAAATAAAAACATTTTTTTTTTTTTTTTTTCAAATAATGACACATAAACAATGTGAAAAATATTTCCCGGAATTTTCGGGCTTCTTCCAAAATCCTTTTCTCATTCTCCCATTATTATGGTCAATGCAAATGTGAAAATTTGAATCAATGAAGTCAAACCATGCAATATAAAAATAAAGTATTATTTCGTGTAACTTTTTTATTTATAATTTTTATTTGTATTCCTTAAAAAAATATATAATTATAACACATTGTTTTTTTTTTTCCCGGAATTAAAATGGTTAACAAAAAATGGTTTGACAACGACTCATGAAACTATCATTTTAGCTTAACATACTTAATGATTGAAATATTGTTTTACATACATTTTATTACTTATTTTTCTGCATAAATTTATCAAAATATATGAGGTAAATATAACAAAATTTTATTTACACTGCTTTATGAATAATAACGTTTATGTAATATACATATGTAATAACTTGTTTTATGGGATTACTATAGGCTTATTTTAATTTTTTTTAATAAAATTAGATTTCTTAATTATATAAATAGAAATAATTATTGGCATAGAAAAAAAAAAAAGGTAAAATAGCAGCTATTGAATTCTAGAAGGAATAAGTTCTGTGGAAAATTAGGGTGTGTTTCTTAAGTAAAGAAATAAAATTACAGCTATTGAATTTTAGAAGAAATAGTTTTTGTGGAAAATTAGAAAAAAGATATATAGACATAACAATACTCCCTTTGGAAATGTAGTAGGTAAGAGTTGTGTTTGTATAAATAAATTATTAAAAGCAAGCACCATCAAATCAAACACAGGGGAAAAACCACCCAGTCAACCTTTGAGGAGCTATAAAAAAAGGAAAATTGGTGTGTATATTTCCGCCACCAACACCGCCGTGAAAGAAGAAGAAAGAAGAAAAGAAGAAAGATGGGTATGACAATATTGTTTGGCAGGAAAAGTTTGTGGCTGATTGCGGTGCTCGTCTCCATGGTGGCTTCTTCTTCGTACGCTCAAACCAACTGCTCCAACTACAGGTTCAGCAACGCCAACGAGTTGTACGCAACCTGCGTGACCCTCCCCGTGCTCGACTCCTTCCTCCACTGGACCTACCAACCGTCCAACCACACCCTCAACATCGCCTACCGCCACACCCGAGTCACCGCCTCCAACTGGGTGGCCTGGGCCCTAAATCCGGGCGGCAGAGGCATGAGCGGTGCCCAGTGCCTTGTGGCCTTGGTCGACCCCTCCTCCACCACTCCTCGTGCATACACCTCCGCCATCGCCCTCAATGACTACAGCACGACTCTCCAGCAGAGCTCCCTCAGCTTCCAAGTCCCATCCCTCTCCGCTGAGTTTCGGGACGGCCAGGAGATGATCATACGCGCCACCATTCAGCTCCCTCCAGGGAGGACCAGCTTCAACCAGGTGTGGCAGGTCGGCCCTCTTAGCCCCTCCGGTCAGCCCCAGCAGCACCGCAGCACCTCTGCAAACCTGGGTGCTACCAACAACCTCGATTTTGCTACTGGGACCACCTTACAAACTGGCGGTGGCGGTGGCAGTGGCGGTGGCTCAAGGCAGAGAAGAAGAAATGTACGTATGAATAATAATAATAATATCATTCCCTTTGTTTACTTTTGTTTTGGAGTAATGAATTCGATAATATTTTCCAGACCCACGGTGTGCTGAACGTGGTGAGCTGGGGAATACTGATGCCGATCGGGGCCATGACGGCAAGGTACCTGAAGGTGTTCAAAGTGGGGAACCCAGCGTGGTTCTACCTCCACGTCACCTGCCAGGCCTCTGCCTATGTAGTCGGGGTTGCCGGCTGGGCCACAGGACTCAAACTCGGCAGCGACTCCCCTGGAATCGAGCGCACAACCCACAGGAACATTGGAATCACCCTTTTCGTCCTGGGCACCCTTCAGGCGTTTGCCCTCCTCCTCAGGCCCAAGCCCGACCACAAGTACAGGATCTTCTGGAACGTATATCACCATTCCATAGGATACACCGTCATTGCCCTCAGCATCGCCAACATTTTCGAGGGCTTTGATATCTTAGACCCTGAGAGGAAGTGGAGACGAGCCTACATTGGCGTGCTCATTGCCTTGGGAGCTGTTGCCCTTTTCCTCGAACCACTCACCTGGTTTATCGTCATCAAGAGAAAGAGGGAGTCTTCTAAGCACGCACCCAATGGGAACAATGGTTATAGTGCCTAGCCAGCCACATACTTTTCACTTTTTTTGTTCTTCTTTTTTTTTTTTTTGGTCGATCTAGATGGGTTATTATAGTCGTCATTGATGTTGTTCTTGATGTTACATTTACTTCTACTATCTTCATGATTTTTGTCCTAGGTGATGACGATTCATTTCCTGAGTGATTAGTTTGTCTATATAGTGAGTGCACACTGTTAATTTTTTATAGCTGGCTATGGTTTTCATGTATACTCTGTTTCAATCTATGCATCTTGAGAATTCTTTAGTTTTCAGCAACTCTTATACTGCTAATTAACACTCTATTTCGAAATACAAATGAACAAATGGAAAAATTTGACATGGATGGATTCTGTATAATACATCAAAATTCAGAACATTATTATAGTTTCACCAGACTATTTACACATTATTCTTACACATAAATTGAGTACATACAGTTCATAAGAAATATACATATTTTTTTCTCACCAAACGACTCGTCATGCACATAAGCATGGAGGGGTGCACCTAATAAACTAAAGTAAATTCTCTTGACAAGTATAAAATACTAACATGTATAGAAAGTCAGTTCCCCAATCAATGCTTTCTAAGCAGAGGAAAGTGCACAAGCCGGAGGAAACAGATTTCCAGTCAGCTTTGGCTTCACATTGCTACACTCAGATGTGGCACCACTCCCAGTCCCACTCTTGCCTTGGTACCTCAGATTAATGTTACTCAACTCCACATTTTTGCATGGGTATCCTTTGCTGCACTTAAGTTGGACCGCCATTTGGCTTGCTGATGTTCCACGTATATCTTTGAAGCTCACATCACTAATCTTAACGCGCGATGGCACCTTCATAGACCATAATACCTCTACATAAAACAAAAAGACGAAGAGGGAAAGAAAAAGAGCAATTAATTATATCATTATTGATACCTCTGCTTTGCAGTTATTGTAAGGGCAATACTCTTGATCGATCAAAACCGGGGTGCCAACGTTGTTCATGACAATATCCATGAAATGCAAGTCACGAGCTATACCATCCGAAGGAGAAGCGGGCCAAGTCTTGACCCTGACTCCGTTCATAGTATTTGTTATGGTGCAATTCCTCACCGTGATTCCAACCACGGGGTCTTCATTAGGATACTTTCCCAGGCTCCCAATGGCAATGCCGTGGCCTGGTCCGCAACTCACTTTCTCAATGTTCACTTGTTGGCTCCCATCACCCAGAGACACACAGTCGTCACCAGTTTTGATGACGGCATCGCTAATGTTGACACCGTTTGAACGCCCGATGTGTATCCCGTCTGTGTTTAGGCTTTCTTCCGGTGCAATTATGTTGATGTGCTCTAGTGTTAGGTTTTTGCAGTTGAGCACATTCATGTGGAATAACTTGCTGTCCACGGATGTCACTTTTTGGATTCTCGAATTTGTGATTTTGTGGAAACTTAGATTCTGTCAGGAAGAGTAGGGAAAAGGATGTCAGCATCTAAACTAAATTTTTATTTCTTCTTTTTGTTGTTGAGAACAAATATAATAGAACAAGGAGAACACAATGTTGATGATAAAAGTTGAAAACAATACTATAGGCAATGATCCGCATTTTCCTGTTTTTGAACAGTCATTCTGCTTCCAGGCATTTTGTCCTTGACCATCAAATATTCCTCCCAAAAGGGTGAAGCCATTTATACTCTGGAAGGTGAACCACCCGTTTTGTGATTTGAACTTGCTGACATCGGCAGGAGCCATGAAATGCACTCCGTCAGCTTGAATAGTAACAGGAGCTTGACAGGGACCCTGGATTTTTATTGGACCCACCATATAGGTTCCTTTTGAGATCAAAACTTTACTCGGGCTGGTGTATTTGCATGCCTCTTTCCAGGCATTTTCGATGGCCTGACCACAAGAAAATCAAAGCTAGTTTGTTTCAAATCATGCATTGTATTCGGACCAGAGAAAGCACAAGGGTACTATATATATATATATATATATATATATATATATATATATAACTCTCACCATGCTATCGTCTGACTTGCCATCAGCTTTGGCTCCATACTTGCGAACATCAAAATCGTTTGCTTGGTTTGTGACAACCATTGACATTAATAGTACCAAAACGTATATTCCTTTCATCTTTCTTCTTTATTATGTACAACTTCTTTCTATTTTCGATATTCCAAGTAATATATGTCTAGTTAATAGCTTGTGAAATGATAGAAATACTGTATATATAGGAAAGGAAAAGCAAGCTTCAGACCACAAATCATACAAACTAATTTTGGATACAAAGTATCTTATGCATTTATCTGTTTTATCTACAAATAGAATATTGGCTAAAAATACAATCCTACTTTATCGTACAATCATTACCGCTAAAGTAATTTCACACCTCAAGATATTGACATATACTAAATTCAACTCCATCTTAACTATATAACCTTCTACACCATATACATCCGTTACCATAGATCCATTTTCCATCAATGGTATTGTGAGATCTCAAAAATTCTTAGCAGAACACCAAAATGTCATTTGGTTCACAGAATTGAGAATAGGTGTTGGAATTAAGAATAGCTGATGGAGGACTGGTGATAAACATTTTCTAGCGCTCACACTAAAAATGCATGATAGTCTCTAACTTGGATTACCAAAAAAAAAATAAAAAATTTTTTTTCGAGCGAACATGTGTTTATTAGACTGTGGAGAGAACTCCAAGCCGGTTGAGATTTCGTCAATAGATTACTAAAGCTTTAATCGTTTTGATATCTCAACTGGTAATCAATATAAATATTGGTAACATATGCAACAACAAGATAGAAAGAGTTTTTCCTTAATGTTTCCGGTCTTCGTGTTTTTGTTTGGCCACGCTCATGCCATTAGAAACAGTATCTATATATTACTAACAATATTCTGAATTAGAATTGTAGAATATTTAGTAAAATATTACTGAATGAGAATTTACTTTATAAATAGTCTAAAAAATATTTTCCCTCTATTCTTTATTATTTTTCAGAAAGTTGTTTGTTGCGTCAAATCTTATCAACAATTAATCATAAAAATATTAATGCAAAATTTTTGACACAACTAAATCTAAATTAGAATTTTTATTAGTAATAAAGTTTTCAAATATGTGGACACACTGAATTAATTTTATGCGTAGTTCTGTTATTATTTTGTGAATCAAAATAACTTTTTTTTCATTATATTAAAATGATATTCTTTTTGTCAAAATGTTTATTACATAGATAAAGTTTATATTTGTATATCAATATCAAGTCAAAAATATAAAACAAATCATTTAGCATGTAGGACTACTATGTCATAACATATACGTACATTTATGGACCTTATAACTATTATCATTAAAGATATACCAAACAATATAACTTTTATTTACAAATTTACAGATAATAAATAAATATATAATAATAACAGTATTGAAAACGTACGTAGATGGCGCAGTGCCCACTAAAAATGAGTGGGTGTCTTAGATTGTGCTTCCGGCTAACCATAGCAACTCCAGTAAAACTCATACAGTTGATACATTCCTGATCATTCTTAACTGAACTCTTCTGACTAGAAAGTAAAAACTCAAGTGAGCGACATGTAACATATAGCTCAGGTGAGATTGGTTCAGGTGATCGAGGGTTGTTTGCCCATGTTTGTGCACAACATCAGAGTAAGAACCGGTCATAGCAGCTTGAGTACAAGTAGACGTCGTTAGTTGGGCGGTTTACAGTTATTGGCGTACACTCTCCCGAACAACAAAGTCTTAAAGAAAAAATGCCTTCCACTAATCGGCCTAAAAGAATGTAAATGGCATCTGAAACTATGTTGACATAATTTAAGCTCTATTAATCAGAATATCAAAGGTTATGAATGATACCATTTGAATCAAATGTGAATGTAATATGCAAGATAGCCACTCTTTCTCAAGACAAGAATTATAACTGCTTAATGAACAAACCTATCTTGCACACGTCATCTTACTTATGTTGTGTCTGTGGTCACTTAAAATAGCCTTCACTCAGATCCTCCAAAACAGCTTTCTCACCAGTTAGGTGCTCAACCAACCCTTCCAAAGAGGAAATAATCATTAGTATCTATATATTATGCTAAAGAGAAGCACAAATAGTTTTATCATTATACCTTGACAATAATGCCGGCAATCATGATGACCAATCTTGAGGTTTGTTTCCCAACTCTCATTGAACTCCTGCGCTGCAATTATAGTGTTTCCTCGGGAGTAGCCAACAAACTGACATTTTCTCTTGGGAAGCTTTTCCAGCTTCCTCACAAGAATAACCCCTGCCATGTCAAAGTTTCAATCTTTACAGATGGGGACGCACTCTTCCAGCATCCATCAATATTGAAAAATAAATTCCTATTCGGCATCCATGGCTCCATGACAGTTAAGAAGCAGATATGATCGGCACAAGAACAAAGTACGAGAAACACAATTATAGAGGCAAATGACGCAATAAGACATGACACATGGTGAAACAAGAGATCGTAGAAGATACGATTTTCCACCATTAATTCCACTAAATGACCAGCCCAACAGAAAAAGAAACAGAACCAGAAAGAACTCAGGTGAAATACAGAGTCCACAGCACATACATGAAAATACGGAGCAGCTTAAAAGATTAGTGAAGCGTGGCAAAGGAGAAAATCAGAGGTTTAGGCTCACCAGGTACATCTCTACCAGTCAGTGCTGCAACAGCGACCCATATGCTTTCAGGATCCTCCGGCTGAAAATCATAAACCAAAACCTGCAAAACTAAACTGAATTTGAAAAGAAAACAGGCAAAAAAAAAAAATGATTGACGAAGAGAAATAGCTAGCGACCTGAGGAGGAGGAGAAGAGCGTTTGACGATGACGATGAAATGGTGCAAATTAAGGGAATATGAAGCAGACATAAGCAATTGGGAAGGCCCTTTACTCGCCCTCAGTGCCACCGCTCCCACGTACACTTCATCTCTGCAACTCACTTTAACTCCAACTGAAGACGATAAGGCCCCCAACATTTCCCACCACTTTATTTTTTCCTTGGTCAGCAGGAATCATAAGCTGCTTCTATAAAATGATTTCCCTTTTTTTTTAAATCAACATCCATATTTTCGGTTAGCTGTATTAAGCAATCTTTTAACTAGGGTATCATACTGGACGAGCCACGCCGCGCGTGTACCGGTTCAACTAATTTTATTGTTTATTTTATCAATTTTAATAAATATTAAATTATTTTATTATTGTAATATAAGAAAATGCTAAGATCCCAAAAACCAAATCATCAAAGTTTGTAATCGTCAAAAATAATTGATAACGATTACAAACTCTGACGGAATAGTTCTATAACGCGACCATAACATCTTCCATTAATATGAATAAATGTATGAAATTAACCGTAATAAATACTAAAACTAAATAAAAATATATTAAAAAAGTGTAGAACTTTCTATTTATATAAATAAAATAATAAAATATGTTAGATTTTTTTTTTATTAAATATACCCGGTATTTTAAGTGGTATTATATGGTCAAATCGATATTTTCTGATGAAACCAATAGCAATAAGTATTTTGACCAAAACGATACATACTAGTATTTTAAACATTGGTATTAAGTCTATTTTTTTTATACACTATATAGAAAAGTGCCTATCAGTATAAAAATGAATGGTCTTTAAAAATCAAAAAAATAATTAAAATAATTTTTTTTTCCCCTCATATGTATATGTATTTTATTATTAATTATCAAACATCCTGTGCGCCGTAAAAGTTAAAACCCCCTGTTGCTGTTTGCGGAGGTAAAGGGTGAAGCATCCGGAAGGTCTGGGACACGAGGTGTGCGCACAAAAGGAAACCAGAGTACGGCTGCGGACAATTCACAAATCTCTTCACATAAAATTCGAGAATTCGGGATAGAGATTGGGAAAGATGGAAAGAGGAAGAGGCAGGGGAGGAATGGTTGGACTGCTGTTGGTGCAGGCGCTTAGCGAATACTACCGACTGGAGAGAAGGCCGCCCGTCACGGCGGGCCTCATTGCAGCTAATACTCTCATTTACTTGCGCCCCAAATTCTTGGACCCAATTCTCCCAACACTCAATCAAGTCTGGTTCAATCCCCATCTCATTCTCAAGGTAACCCAATTCTATTCGTGATATTATTCAATTCATTTAGAGTTTGAGTTTAATTAATTGATTTTGTAGTAGTTGCAGATTTTTTAAATAGGAAAATGAAGTGGATGCAAGTATTTAGGTTATGTAGATTGAGCTTGCTAGCTATATTCATGCGCTTGTACTGGAGAGGGTTTTTTCTTTCTTTCTTTTTTTTTTTTTTTGGTAAATTTCTAATTGAATGATAGGTGTGGACCGTGTGGTGCTTCACTATGCAGTTATTTTTGTTTTTGGATAACAGTACTGTATTGTGTAATCAATCTTGTTGAGCAGCACAAGGACCTAAAGCGATTCCTTTTATCGGCATTCTACCACATTGGTGAGCCCCACCTGGTGTACAACATGTTGTCATTGTTGTGGAAGGGAATACAGTTGGAGAGTGCAATGGGGGGCCTTGAGTACGCATCAATGGTTGCAGCCCTAGTCGGTATGTCTCAGGGGACCACTTTGTTGCTGGCCAAAGGCCTGCTGCTCTTTGACTACAAGAAGTCGTACTACAACGAATATTCTGTGGGATTCTCAGGTGTTCTTTTTGCTATGAAAGTAGTACTCTATTCCCAGTCGGATGACTACACATACGTGCAAGGGCTTGTTGTCCCAGCACGTTATGCTGCCTGGGCAGAACTTATTCTAGTCCAAATGTTAGTTCCCGGCGTTTCGTTTCTTGGGCACCTTGGAGGAGTGCTTGCTGGGTTGTTGTACGTGTATCTAAAAGATTCATATTCTGGCGCCAACCCTATTATGAAGGTAGTGCGGGGTCTGCTCGGTTGGCCTCCAAGATTTGTGCGGTGGATTTTGGGAGCTTCTGTTGGGAGGAGTGAGAGAGGAAGTGGTGTATGGAGGTGCAGAGTGTGTACTTACGATAATGGAGGATGGTTTAGTGCTTGTGAAATGTGCGGTACGAGTCGTGATGGCAGTGGTTCGTCATCTGCATTCTCTTATAGTAGTTCTGATGATGATACTGAAACTATTTCCTTGGAAGAACTAAGAGAGAGGAGGGTCCAGAGATTCGGGCGATGATGATGCGGAAAGATTGTTAGGAATAATGTGGACTGTGCTGGAGCTGCTATTATACAAATACATAATTTTCTTTTTTCCTTTTGGGATTGGAGACTTCTGAAGTGCATTGTGTTTCTCTATGTATGTATCCTATCCTCTTATCTTATTGGAGAAATATTGTGTAATGAGGGTTGATCAGTATATACATATATACTATAAACTCAGGCAAGCCAAGTCGGAATGTGAGGTTGGAGATAATGATCTTGGTTTTTGTTGGAGCCCACGCCACCATATGCACCAATGTACAGCCTACTCTTACCGGCAAAACAAATAACCCATTTATCTATATAAAATTTTGCTTTTGTTTTTCTGTAGAATAATTATGCCAATTTGGGCTTTGTTTCAGTTAATGTATTTTTGAGTTAATGTACTTTTAAAGCATTGAGTTAGATAGTTTATACTATGATATTAATGTATATGTCTATATCTATACAACAAAGTATACATACAATACTGATCACTTTCAAGTTTCAATTCATCCTTGTCATTGAAGTGTATAATGCAGTTCTGTTCTGACGCTCTCCCAAATTTAGGCCTCCCTTGGGTTAAACATCAATAGTTTCGATGCATGAATTTTATTATTATTATTATTATTTTATTTTTTTTTGGTTTATTAAACAATTGTAATAAGACTTGAAGAGACCTTTATATTAATGAACTACCAGCTCTGACGCCATGATATGATCGTTCAAGGGGAAATCTCGTTAGATCAATCTCCAAAAAGAAACGCATGATATATGTAAGTCTTACAGCATAATAGATTGCACTTTTAGTCATCAAGTCGCAGAAAGACATCTAAAAACAAGCTTGTAAACAGACAGGTAAACGCAACTATTTGTTTCATATGCTCATGTTGGAAAGATGGGACTCAACCATCATCAGATATCTGCTTCTGGAATTGATTCTTCTAGAATGCTGTTGATATCACCATAGCTATCCGCAAAGGTGGGGAAATCATGTCTCATGCCTTGATTCTGTAGCAAGTGACCGTGTTCCAAAGCTACTGAGTTATGCTTGATGGTCCAGTCAGGTCGACTCCACAATGATAAAGGCGGTGGCTCCAAATTCCACTGATCCATTCGTTGGTCATGCACGTCTACTGACCCAGGAAGGTAAAACGACTGAAAGATGGCCAAGTTCAAACACAAACTCAGTTCACTTCATCTCATCGCTCGTATAAACAACATTCTCTATTATTAACAAATAAAAAAATTCAAAATATATATATGATCTATTTGTACCTTGCCAGAGAAAATCTGATCATCCTCCCATACTAGGTCATATGGAATCTCTTTCATATCCAATCTGGACACCACACAAGAGATGCATTGACAACCGAATAAGAAGGCCAAATGGATGAGGCGCATATCCACACACACACACACACACACACACCCAAACATAAATACATAATATTCCGTTGTCAATGCTTACCTTTCAGTTTCTCTGGGAACTATGAGAATAAGAAGCTTTGGCATAAAGCTCAAAGCCTTCTCAATAAATTGATTCGCAAGAGATGCGTGAACACCAAAAGGAGGGTTTAGCCCCATAATCTAAGCAAAGAACCAAGCAATGCTATGAGCAAAAAAAGATTTAGTTTCTCCAAGGTAGAAAGGCTTTGCCCCTCCACAGAATTAAAAGACAATACCAGATTAGATCCTTCAGGTAATTCTTCCAACCCAACGCTCATCCAGTCTCTTTTCTCAAAGTTGAAGTCATTCTGGAACAAGAAGATGTAGAAAAGTAGATGATGCATCTATCAGAGGATATCGGCACAATGCACAAATAATATGACCAAGTTGTACACCTCCAACCTCCATGATAAAAATAATATAAAAACACAAATGCCTTATGATGCCTAGGCTTCGTCTTGGCACAACTAGGCTTTTATATATAATCTTGCTTATTATAAACACACACACACACAAGGTTGAGTGGTAACAACTTGCACAGCATATAACTTTAATCCATTGCAATTTTTCAGACTACAACATTCACAGATTTTATCAAACATTCTCACGATAAAACTCATCAGTGTGATATCATAAGTCAATGTTGTAATACAGACACACACACACACACACACACATATATATTCCAAGATATATGAACAATATTCCCAGTTGTGTACTAAGAAGGTGAGACATATCACCCAAGCAAGCATGCGTACCGTGCATGTTGCTTATAAAATAATAGGCCTAACAGGGTTTAAGGCACTAGGTGCACAAAACAGTATAGTGAAGGGCTTCTAGCTGCTTCGCTTTCTTTTTTTATGGCGTGCTATTTTCATTCAAATCGAAAGATAAATACCTTTGGTTGTATGAGGTCGTAATTTTTGAAAGAGCACTTTCTTCCCATTCTTTCAAGTTCTTCCTTCATTAAGCAGCTGAAATCGTTTGATCCACAACAGAAATCAACAATCTGTTTCAAGACAATTGATTTGTTATAAGGACATAACGTTCTGTGTACAACAAAGATGATTTTGTGGGCTATGATTAGCTGGGGTTTACATATATTTCTCACTCTCAGTTGTCCAAATAACTTCCCTCACATTCATCAGACAAACATAGTTTGCCAATTTCAAAGAGTATGCTTTTCCAACTCATATGGCGGGAGAGGATATCCCCCACAAGTGTAGAATACTATTATATAAGTAAAGCACACTGAAAAATAACAATAATACCTAACTAATGAATAGATTTTTCCCGGATTTATTGGTGACTTCATATTTGCCTTTTTTAAATCACTTTGACTTAGATACCAGCTTATTATCAATTAAAAGCACACTTCAACTAGGATGCCAAAATAGTATTTTGCATTGGTGTAATTCTTGTTGATGGAAGTGGAACCACATGTTGCTGATGTAATGTCAATACCAAAGAGGTAAGATTGCAGTTACAATTTGGAAGAGACGTGAACTTAACCAAAGTAAAATGAAAAGTCGGCAATAAAATAGCTCAAGACAAATTACCATTCAAAAAATTATTAGAATGCCATGAGACCATCACACATCAAAACTACCGCTAATATCAGATGCGATTAGGTTCGATTATTGGAGGTGTATACAATTCTGGACTCACTTTGTCCACTATTCAGGTGGCTGTACTTACTTTAACCGAATTCCGAGCTATGGTAGGATATAATGCAACAAAATGCTGTCATTACTGTAAATGATGTTGGTATAAATTGTTCTTACCGTGTCTCCATCTTGCACGTACCAACGAAGCCTACTGACAACCTGCAAATTTTGAACCAGTTCTCAGCAACTTTTACTGGCAGTGAACACTATAAAATTACGGCAACACGCTGACAAGAGAGCAGGAAAGGCAGTCCGAATAAGGAAGAGATTTTGGCACAAGTAGAAAGAAAAGATGCTATGGGAAGCAAATAAAGAGAATAGAAATTTATTAATATCAATTTTGATTTTAGCCAAGAGGGAGTAATATGAAAGCCAGCTGTGGAACAAATAAATAAATGAAAATTCATGTCCGTTTATTGCACCTTCCCTTGCAGGAAATCTGGTATCATGCAAAGTGTGCTGAGGTAGGCCTAACCGTGTAAGCCAGAGGAAATGCAAAAAATAAAAAATAACAAAAAACCATCTCTTGCCCCCAGAATTCGTGAATTTATTTGGCTTTGGTATTTGTTGAAGGAAAGAAGAAAGTCCATCATTCTTTTCGTGAAACTCTTATCATGATAAAAAGGGTCACAATAGCATTGCTCATAACCTCATTTAAACCAACAGAACCACAAGTAGGAATTAGTCATCTCTTTCCCAGTGGAAAATAAATAATGGTTTTATTTGAATGTTCGTTAGCCCTTCCAATAAGTAACTGGCTCAAATCTCGACATTAGAATTGCCAGTTCAATTCTGAAAGTGTATAGTCATTCGGCAATCAAGGTAAGGTTAAGGAATAGATCTTGTAATGAATCCATGGAAACACATTTCAGGAAAAATTGTGCATATCCAAGATTTATACGTGCTACCAATCCAATGAATAGATTTAAAATCAGTTATGAGTATTTACCTGCTTCAGCTTCTCAACTTTTGTGAAGTGCCGACCAAATGATGTATAGCGCAAGCCATGTATAAAGGGAGCAAGAAAGACCTGTAGCTTTTTCTGAAATATAGTAAGCAACTGATAGTTAGGCCAAGATTCTAATCTGTGATACATAATATACAAGAAAAATACATATACAAATTTACATGTCTGTGAATCTTATATAAACATAGCAGAGCACCATTACATAATAGCTTACAGCGATGGGGGTATTGCAATTAGAAATTAACTTAAACCACAACGGATAAATGAGAACCTACCCAACCTTATATGTATGTACTGATCTAGAAGAACGTCAAGAAAATTAATGATGTGGTACCAAAATTAAACAATATGGAAGCAACATGTATAATGCTTTTAAAACGGTTATAGAGTTTGTTGATGCAATAATTACTACTTAAATTAATTAGCTAATAATAAGCACAGAAGATCAATAATTTAAATCAATACAACCTCATCAATAACTGTCTATAGCCTGCATGGTTTTGCTAAGAGCTACCTGTGTACAATTTATTTGTAGTCGCCTGAAGATGAACTACATGGACGTGCTATTATGGAACACAAGAAAGTATGTTCTAAGAAACACAAATCCTAGATGCATAAGTTAATTAATGCCTCAGAGAAGACAGATTATTAAAACTTAAGCTGTTAAGGATCTAATTCTTCAGTTATAAGTTTTATTTCATCATGGTACAACCTTCCATTTGATCGATTGAGAAAGAATGGCAGGTTCACAAACAGCTTTTGCATCCTCAATTGTGCCTCCTGCTTGTAATTTCTTCATTGCTGCTTGGATAGCCTAAAACAATCAATAACCAACAACTTCAATGAAAAAAAGAGACAACATCACTAGACATTTAACAGCAAATATCTTCACAAAAAAAAATCAGAAAAGGATATCAAATCGGTCTCACATGGTATAATACAGTTCCATCTTTCATAAATCTCTGAAACAACATTTCCAACCAAACCAGAATATGTTTCTACAACTAGCTTCCATGACTGCCACATTCAGATTTTGACATGAACAGACGATAATAAAAATCATTCCATAAATGTGATACGGTGATAGAAATTGAAGGCATAGTTGACGACAGGTGTCAAAACATAGATTTGTTTGTTTATTTAACATAAGCATACATGCGCCATTATTCATATGTATATATAAAAGATATAGAAAAATTGTCATGCTTTTAGTTAAGAGAGACTAAAAGCAGACCTGAACCAAGCATTCCACCTTTCCTAGGGTAATTGTGTTGGCCGCTCTGGAAAGTTGGGTGGAAGTATTTACACATTTCCTCCTCTGTTCAGCAAGAAACTCTTCCTCATTAAAAGAAGACATGGAGTTGTTTATTAATATCTGTATTCTGCACAGCAAAAATCTCACTGAATATCATACTCTTGGAGTACATACTCTCTTTCTTTCTAAGAAAAGCTAAGAGAAAACTATCATGTAAGGTGAAAAAAATAAAAGAGCAGGTAATCACCGCTTTCTCATTTCTGGGGTTCTCATAGTCCTAGCCTTTTTACTTGGAATATTTGCAATGGCACCCTTTTCTGAAACTCCTCCCACGCTGGATGGCGACAGTGGCTTACCACTTCTCACTGTGGACTTGAAACTCCCCATTGTGGAAGGATTGTTTGGTTTCCGCCATTCATACGTAGAAATACTCAGTGGGCGTATCACACTTGCACTCGAGTTTATTTTACCAAGTTTTTCAAAAGGTTTTTTCTCCTTATTTCTGATAAAATCATCAGTTATTCCTTTAGGCAGCTTTTTCAATGGTACTTCATCTGTTAGAATTCCATACACCTTACTCCTCCTTTCTGACATCACATGTAATTTGTCTGGTCGTAACACAGAAGGATACTGATCTTTGTTTCCATCAACTTCAGGGAATAGTAAATGGTCTCTTTTTGGTGTTAGAATATTGCGACAGATCTTATGATCCCTGAATAGAAAACCTAAGATTTAATAGCATCCGGGTAATATTTTAGGTATTTATTCAGGAAAACTAGATGAGCATACATGCAGTAGATCAAGATTCGATTGATCAAAAGCTTTTCCCAGGCCCTCTGCGGGATATTTTTTTCATCATCCTGCTCGAAAGAAATGTTCCTGCGAAACTAATCAGCATGTTAGAAATAAAGCATGTACTTAAAAACACACTAAGACAATCAATCTTTGCCTGTCAATTTAGTGAAAGAAATATAGACAATTATAACTTTTCAGGGCAACCTTGGTAAGCATTTGCGGTGGTATGCCTTTGGGCAGCGTCTGCAGACTGCAAATTGCATGTCCATAACATTTTTAACTTCTCCTTGCCTGCAGATGCAACATACATGGGCTGGGCAAGTAAATGCCTCCCCAGCTTGGATTTGCTTCTGGAGTTCTTGAGCTTTATTCTTTTCTCTGGGGAAAATCAGCTCTGAAACACACTGTGGATGATAGAAATGCCCGCATGTCGCCGAGATGCAAGGGAAAACCTTAAGAGATCATCAACAAAGTTAGGTCATATATTTTACCCTTCTTGGATTAAAACCAGCATTATACCATCTCTCACCCACCAATATTCCAGTTAAGTCAAGAGATCCTATTTAGCATACATGCCCTATGCAGCAATGACAACTTCCGGAACACTAAATCCAAAACAAAATCCAAACAAAGGTACCGTCCTAATCCAATGGAAATTTACAATCAATGTCTGAGTTAAAATCATAAACAATATGAACAGAGGATACTTGATCAAAATATTAGGTCAGAAGTTTGTCCCATACATGTGTTTCAAAGTACTATGCCAGTGCAAACTTCAGGTAATTTCACAAGTGCTGCTCCTCCATACTTATTGTGAACTAACATCTTGATTAATGCAAAAGAACTACGAACTCCAAATAACAATGCGTGACCACTCAGGTCAAAATATATAATTTCAGGCGTGTTACTAGACGCAGTTTCCACAATCCACAAAGAAACTCAATGGCTCAAAAGAAAAGACTATAGTCATGCTAGCTTCTACAATGATGTAGAGAGAAGTTAGTACTGAGCAACAAGCATCGAAGTTCAAATATTGGAAGTATAACAAGTAGGTTTCATAAATCCTTTCATTCAAATATCCAGCAGAAGTTGCACCTCAGTACCAGAAGATTTATCTGAATTGCCCAGCCTACCACAAACAAAGCATTGATGCTTTTGATTTTGGCAATTTTCGCACATAAAAATCTGTATGGCCTGCAAGATAACCACTTATCATTCTGATGAGATTAACGAGTATTACAAAGGAACAATGAATCCACATACTCCTAGATCATAGACATGCGTGCACATGACGAATCAAAAAGTAAGATTTCCAGGAGGTGGATTGGGGTTTATTTTCATACACGAACTTGTGCGCTGCTATAACCCAGAGATTCACAAGAAGAGCCAGCACCAGATTCTATAGTTGGATGAAAAGATCGTATGCATCTTCCTTCACAACTACATAAGAAGTGAAATATTTCAACTAGCGACTTGGCAAAAAACCAAGACTACGTTACAATAAAAAGAATTCTCCCACTCATAACTTTAAAAAATAGTAATCTTTTGGAAGACTGAAGCACTACAATCAAAACTAAAAATTTGACAAATATGGCTCAAAGACAGTAGTTTAGTTGCTGACACTTGAGAATAATCTTTTTCTGATCATATCAGAAGACAAAGGGATGTTCCACGAAAAGATCTAGGAAAGTTGTCGCAGGAACAAGAACAATTTATCTGGAAATAAGAGCAATGGTTATGTATGGTTATACTTCCAATAACAGATTCCGTTTTACAGTATTCGCAAAAGAAGAGACATGTTTGTTCATCAAAATATTATTTGTGAAGTAACTATTCCTCTCCCATTTTCACATACAATAACATTTCGAATACATAATTCTAATTTGCCAAACTTACCGGATAGACTCCAAAATATCACATCTCAATCATTACTTTAGCTTTTCATTCAACAACCTATTAGGAGATGGCACACCCTTGATATAGAATATGTAAATCAAGCTAATAAATTTAATGGGACCCAAAACTGATAATATTTAGGACTTTTCAGTTTTCATTCTATAAAATCTATTTACCAGGCCCTAACACCTAGAAATCATACAAATAAAGTATCCAATTTATTACTAATGCATGTTTAGATATCATTAAAATCAAGAAGCACTTGCATACCACAATAAGTCACCACCATCATCACAAAATGCACAAACACGATCAAATAATTGATCTCCGTCTGCCTCACATGAATCATAGTGATCGTCACTGTCTTCATCTTCGTCATAAACTATAAACTTTGCTCTCTTCTCTATTCTATTATCCTGCAAAACAGAGGAGCAGATAGGAAAAGACACAAAGAAGAAACTCAAAACAAAGTTCATTAATTTTGCCACTGACCTCAGAAAAATCTTTCCTCTTTCCTGACATTTCTGAAAGAAAGGTTGGTAAATTCTGTTACAATAATAAAGTTGTCATCAGCAGAATTGCATAAACATGCATCAAGACTGATAACCAGTTTAACCATCTCATTAAGCATGCCAACGAAATAAGGACTGCTACTTTCTATAAGATATGGTACTACAGATGAAGATTGTCTAAATTAACTCAAACTATGATGTATACACACAGTCACACACACACATATATATACACATCATACACAAAATCAAAAACATACACAAATAACAATAATTATAACAGCAATAATAACAATTACATTAATAGATATTGCATGTATCCTAGGAAACAAGAAGCATGAAGGATCATACGACCGAATGTGATGTCAATTCAACCTGAGTGAACAGCAACCCAGGAAGGACCAATCATTTAGGCAAAAAAGTCTTGCACACCATCCCAAATCAGAACAAACATGCACTTCATCAAATTAAGCTGAAAAGGAGGTCTGACCTCTGTGCCCCACATGCGATATGTGACTTCAAAGAGTCGAATATCGAAAAAAGTTCACTCAATGTGCCATTTATACATTCCATGAAAAATTATCCTTCTTTACAATTTTAACTCATTTAATGGCATGCTGGTAATACGGCAACAGGGATTTTCTATGAGGTTCATTCGGTAATATTACATTATGCCAAACATATAAAAGCAAATATGTGTATCGAGTGTATATGCATGTGCAGACGACTTTGATTTGAAATTCAATTATCATCTTGACCAGTGTTATTAATGGCGGATGGCGGTACATGGCGTTTTGCCAAAATTCTGCCATTGCGGCCGCCATGGCGGCCGCCGTGGCGGTCTATGGCGCCGCCATGAACGCCATCATTCACAAATTTTGCATAGCGGATTGTTAAAAATCCGCCACGCCATACCGCCATGGCGCCGCCATGGCCGCCATTTGATAACACTGATCTTGACTTTCTATCTCATCAGATAATAACTACATAATTGGGACCACAAGGATGTATGACATATGATTCAGAATGTGAGATGCATTTTGACAATACACTCCTACAGTAATTAATGTTAGCACACAGACCTTTGCTTTTGCAATATCTTTATCCCTAAAAGCAGCTTCTTTGATCCATTGCATGTGGTCCAAAAGATCCTTCTTCGAAGGTGGAACCTCATACGCACTGCGCGCAGGTAATTTAAACAAGTGGAATAGGAAGAAAAATAGAACGGATCATGCAAAAGTACATAGCAATAAACATGGTAACCTGAAGGTTTTCCTGACGTGTTTCCATAAGGCTATGCTAGATTCCTCTGAGTTCTTTTTCATGAAATGGAGACAATGAACCGAGATCAGAACAGTTCTAATAATATCTTCATAACTCTTCTGTGGCCTTTGGAGCTTTATCCATCTTCCACCCTCAGCATCCAAAAGTACATAAATTTCAGGAAGGGTGCAGGTAAGAACAAACTTCCATGCAGTCACCTTCCAATGGATTTGTTGACACCCATCTACCTCTATTCCTTGAAGAAATGCATGTTTAGTCGATTCTACTTTCCGCTCATCGTGCCCGTCATCCTCATTGCCATTCCATTTAAGGGGTAGACACGAAAATGATAAGGGGTTTTGGTTACTATCGACAAAAAAATAGTTTGTCACACAATCTTCAACAATTTCACCTTCTTCGACTGATGCCATATGATTGAGCTAATGATAGAGAGAACACTGCATTCAATCAAACTCAGTAAAAAATTTAAATAATCAAAGCTCCCTGGTCGAGTAGGAAAAACCAACATCAGTAGTGAAAGAATCATTTCGTATTTAGCAATTTTCCGGCCAAATCTCACAAAAGCACAAGAAAATCTCATATAACAAAGGAAAATATCATCCCCTGCAAAGAAAATTACTTTACCTAAAATCAGGAGCTAAAATAGCAACGGTTATACAAATTTAATCTTACCCTGGCCCTCTTCTTATATAAGATTTTTAATCCGGAAGAAAACGCAAAACGCAAAACGCAAGAACAAGTTGAGATCGAAAGGAAACTCAGTGAGAGATCAGAACTTACAGATAAACAACCTGAGGGTTTTGTTTAAAGGGAGGGTCAAACACACAAATTATTTAAATGACCCTTTTGAAAAAACATTTGTTTAAATAACCTTTCCGATAAATAAAGGTAAATTAAAATTTTAAATACCTAAAATAACCTTACATATTAAATGACTATAATACCCTCTTTGTGTTACCAACTTTGTATTAAAAAAAAAAAAAGAGTTTGATCGTCGCTTATTTCTCTCGGTCTCTCTCTGGCTCTGTCTCTCTCGGTCTTTCTCTCGTGTGCTCCCTCTCTATCGCTCCATCCTCTCTTCTCTTGAAAAGGTAAAAAAAAAATATGATCATTACACATAAACTTTTGATTCCATATTGCAAAATAAATATAGTTATTGTAGAGGATCAACAATTCAAGCATGTTAGGGTTTGATGTTATTTTAGATATAAAGCATTAGGGTTCATATTTTATGATTTATAAGCATGTTAGTTTCATATTTATCATGTTTTTTATGGAATTGAGGTTTTTTTTTTTTTTGTACATAACGAATATACAGTCGTTGTGTAGTTTACATAACGACTGTACATTCGTTTTTATGAAGAATATGTCATAAAAAATTTAGATGTGTTATATAATTATTTCATAGTGAATGTAGTTTACATAACCAATGTATTTTCGTTTTGACATATCTCAATGTAGTTTCCTTATAACATATTTGAACGTAGTTTCGTTACTTTACTTTGATATGCATGTTGGTTTCATTGTGGTTTTCATGTTTTTTGTGTCATCTTCTATTTTTGTATATGATGTTGCGTTTGAAATTGCTTAACGAATATATAGTCGTTATCCATTGTCGTAACGAATGTCTATTTGTTATTTGATGATTTTGTCATAACGAATGTAGATTCTTTAGATGATTAAATTATAACTAAAATTGTACTTTCGTTATGACAAAAATAGTTGGTTATATATAATTTTAAAGAGTAAACTTAAGAACATTGTATATTATCTCCTATGTTAGTAACATGTGTTTCCACAATTATCTTGTTGAATTGAACTAACATATATCTTTTTTTTTTTCTTGTAGATATTGATTTTAGCAATGATGGTGTGGATACAAGTATGCTACTATGTTGAGTTTAAAAATAATACGGATGACACTTGGACGTGGAGATATGTGAATGAAGATGAAAAGAATGTCAGAGTTATTTTCGTACGCGGCGACATATCTTTCTTGGAACTTGAAGATGCGGTCATGAAGCTCATAAAGTTCGATAGCATCTCACACGTAATTGAATTGCGATCACTGAACCCAAGAGTGATGGAACTTCCAGTTCCCCCTGTGAAGATCGATTCTGATGACACAATCAAATGGTATATATCTATTTGTGACGATCATCCTCTTTGCGTAACACTTGTCGAAAAACTTATCGAGGAAGAAACGAACAATGTTGAAGTTGAAAAAAATCTTGAAGTTGAAGAAGAAACAAACAATGACAATTTAGAGACGATCGAAACACTTACGTGGAAAAATGAAATTACCGAGCCACTCGAAGATCAATGGGACATTATGGTGGAGAATAGAGATAGTCCTATGGAAACAAATGTTGAAGTTGAAGATGAAAGAGGAACCACATTGTTGATAGAAGAGGCGCGTGAGAATTTTTCAACACAATATGCCATGGTTGGGAATGCTAGCCGCTCTATGAGTCCTCTTCGTTGTCCATCTTCCGTGATGATCCCAGAGAATGAAGATGTGCAATGTAACAATATCTTCTCAACCAAAAAGGACTTGGTAGATAAAATTTTGTTGTTGGTCGTGAAGTACCACTTTGAATTTCGAGTGGTAGAATCAACTAAGACCTTATATGTTGTTGCTTGTGTTGAAAGAAGTTGTCCTTGGCGTTTGATAGCGGTTAAGATAGATAGTGGTGAAATTTTTGTGGTATGTTTGTATGTCAATAATCACACTTGCTCTATGAGTGTGCGTCGTAAAGATCACAGGCATGCGACGTACAAGCTGATTGGGAAGCACATTTCCGAAAAGTATAAAGACGTCAATCGGATTTATAAGCCGAGGGATATTATTTTTGATGTCCAAGAGAAGTTCGGGATAACAATCAGCTACACAAAAGCATTTATGGCAAAGCATCATGGATTTGGTCTCATTCGAGGTTGCCCGGAAGAAAGTTACGCAAAGCTCCCTTCATATTGCTACTATTTGGAGCAAACAAATCCTGGGACGATCACTTTCATCGAAACAAGTGTGGGGGCAGTGCATTCGTGGATTCGTGGATTCCGCTCTTCTATCAGAAGAGTAATATTTGTGGATGGGACGTTCTTAACAGGGAGATATCGTGGTACTTTACTCATTGCGACATGTCAGGATGCAAATCTTCAAATTTATCCACTGGCTTGGGCAATAGTAGACTCCGATAACCATCTTTCTTGGACTTTTCTTCTTTGAAAAGTTGAAAGATATAACAGGTGATTCTCCAAATCTTGTTATAGTTTCGGATAGGGGAACAAGTATTCATGGTGCTTTTGTTGAAGTGTTTGAACATGCACATCACGAATATTGTAACTATCACCTGTTGAGAAACCTAAAATCGGAGTTTCCAAGGTTGGAATTAGACGCATTGTTTTGGGCAACAGCCGAAGCCTACACGATGTCTCATTTCGAAAGCAACATGGCAGCATTATGCAATAAGCATAAGAATATGCGGGAATACCTCGAGAAAGCCGAGTTGCACCGTTGGGCTAGATCACATTTTAGAGCAACGAGATTAAACATAATGACTACAAACAATGCTGAATCGTTGAACTCTATGCTAAAGCGTGCTCGAGAATTTCCTATTCTTGGTCTGATTAAACATATCCGGGTGACACTTCAAAGGTGGTTCTACGAAAGAAATCTTAATTCTACAAAATGCAGTAGTATTCTTAGGCCACCGTCTGAGCAGAAGATGTGTAACAGTTACAACGAGTCCAATGGACTAGAAGTGCACAATGTATCCCCGATGATTTTGCAAGTTGGTGGAAGGCATATAGTTGATCTCGAGGAAAAGTTATGCACTTGCCGGAAGTTTCAAGTGGATATGTTTCCATGTGCACATTCTATTGCCGCGATAAGATTTGAGAATGGCAACGGCTACACATTTTGCACTGGAATGTATTCGAGCGCTTCTTGGAGAGAGGCATACTCTGAACCCATTCACCCTGTGCCTAGTGAGACCGATTGGAAGGTTCTGGAACAAATTATGTCAAGAATTGTGTTGCCGCCACTATCACGACGTCCAAGGGGCAGACCTACATTCGAACGAAAAAAATCAGCAGGTGAGGCTCGAAAAAAATCAACTTCTAAACTTCGCCAAATGCGTAAATGTAGCAAGTGTTCAAAACACGGCCATAATCGTGGAAAGTGTGAAGAGATTAACCTCAATCAAGCGATGTGAGGTTATATTTTCGACTAGTGTATTGCTTTTGACTTATAGTGTTTTCACTTTTGGTATAGTGTTTTGACTCGGTTATATAGTTGCTAAAGCTTGAAATTGTATTTTGACTTGTTTATAATGTTTTATGTATCCAATGTAGTGATTATGATTGCTAAAAAAAAATGTAGTGATTATTCAAATATTTTTACAATGTAGTTGGGAACGCCTATAGTCTCGTTTTATAGTATTATATAGTAGTATTACACTAAAAAAGGCTAAAAATATAAATATAACTAAAGTACAGTCGTTATCAACTATGAAATAACGAAAGTACAGTCGTTATCAATATCGCGGGCGCGACAACATTCACGGGCGCGACACTGAAGCTGCAATTCGATCGGCAGAGATCTTCCCAGGATGTCGCGGGCGCGACGTATGTCACGCGCGCGACACATTGATCTTATTTTCTGGACAGAAAGTTGTCCAGGACGTCGCGGTCGCGACGCTCATCGCGGGCGCGTCATATGCGATTGTCGCTGGCGCGATACGTGTCGCGGTCGCGACACCAAATGTGGACCTACAGACCCGCGCGACGGCCTGTCGCGGTCGCGACAAGCAGGCTGTCGCGGGCCTTTTATTTTTTTTTTCTTTTGTAGTCGCGACGAAACTCATTTTGTGAAATAATGATACTTGTTTTCTTGGTCATATACATGTTAACGATTGTATGTTGGTCATATAGCAAATTGGAACGAAATGTTTAAATAACACTTGTTTTTTTAAAAAAATAAATAAATAGAAATATGATGTAAAATATTTGTAAATTCGTTATTCTACATAAAAAAAAGAGTAAAACTAGACCAATAACGAGTTTAATATCTCTATAATATATTATATGACGAATGCACGATCGTTAAAGGTGGAATTGGTCGAAAAACCAATATAACAAATGTACAGTCGTTATTTCTATTATATAACGAATATACATTCGTTATAGTTGTTTTTTTGACTAAAACGAGCTTTCTTTATGGTTTTTTCGATCGATTTACTTGATAACGCATGTATATTCATGTTACATGTCATTGTTTGATAGTTTTAAGTTGTTAGATCGTCAAAACCTTCATCACGGAACTATTTTCTTCAAACAACACTTGTTGTTTTTTTTTAATGGAAGTATGATGTAAAATATTTCAAAATTCATTATTTTAACTTTAAAA